AGGCTGCAGAAAGACTCTGGATTTGCAGTGTTTTGGTGGTGGGGCCTTGTCACTGCCCTGACCAACCATTCTGGAAGTGTTCAGTAGTTTTAATAGTTAATGTTTGCAATGTTTCATCTGGATTATATTTTTTTATTGTTCAAAATCAAATTTTTCTCAAGTCTAAGTGAGTCTTTGCCCTCAGAAATAGGTAAGAGAAACAAATTTCAGCCTTGCAATAGAACTGCTGGAGCACCACTTTTCATCACAAAGAAATGTCCTCGGCACTTAATACTTTGCTGAAAATTAACTCCCCAAAGTTTTTAAAAGAGGGCCACATGAAACAGGAAACAAAATGAACATAAATCACTTTTCCAAAATATTAAAACTATATATAATGACAGAGGCTCCTAAAGATTTCCTGGGTTAGATGCTCTGCTCTGTTCCTGAGTAAGGAAAGCAGCATTCTCCACCAGGCTGTAATTCCATGGCAAAAGCCTGGAACAGGATTTTTGTCATTTGTTTCCTCTTACATGAGGACTGAGGCTCAAAACTGAAATCTTCAATATCACAGGTCCTGAGCCATTTTGGAAGAAGGGAACAAAAAAAAAAAAAAAAAGCCCTTTTCTTTTAAATAGGCAACTTCTTTTTAAATATGGATGCACGAATCTAACTTTAGCTGTCCAGGTTTTCACATTCCTGATCTCAAATACAGAAAGTGGAGCACTAATTTAGTCTCTTGACTTCAAGGTTATCATTCATTGAGGTCAATGACTTCTCTGAAAAGCAGAACTTCCACTTTCAATATGAGAAACGTCGCCCTTCACTGAGTAACTTCACCCCACTCCTTCCTGGCTGATTTCTCACAAACCCCAGGCAGAAACACAGCACCAACCACTCCTGCAAAGGGATTTATCTATGGAAAAATAGTGGTTAACCCTGCAAACATCCAAGTCCTCATTAGCTGGTTATATTTAAAACTTCCCCTCCTAATGAGCAGCCCCGGCTCGTCCATTATTTTATCGGTATCTTGTGTTTATGTCGAACTTCTGCTGAATATCCACCAAAAACTGCCTGAAAAACAGAGTCCAACATGTGAACAAGTCACTGAGGGACAGATTCCGACTGGAACCAAAGGCACACACCAGAAACAAACCCAGTGCCAGCCCATCCTGGGCTCCAGGAGGGAATGAGCACACGGGGCATCCAAACCCAGCTCCAGGTTTATGCCAACCACATTCCCCTCCCAAAACACACTCCAGGGGTGCAATTACTCCAGGGGAACCAGAAGAAGATATAGGCAAGGGATAAAATAGGGATGGCCCAGAAAGTTTCTGGAATTCCCTGGTAAAAAAGTAGCTCTGCCTGAGCCAGTTCAAAGGCAGGGCTGGGGTTGCAAACACAGAGCAGCAACAGGGACACGGTTTATTCCGACAGGGTTTTTCTTTTTTCCTGCTTTGTTTTGGGGTTTTTTTTACTACTGACACGTACAAAAACATTCTTTAAAACAGCTACAGGCTCAGTGAAATCAGTGGCTAAGATATTAGCAATATGAGACATCAGAGAAGTGGCCCAATTCGAAATTTTCAGGTTTTTCTTACATAAAAGCAACACCTGAACACTTGCAGATCATAAACTCAACCCAATCCCAGAAATTCCCAGAAATTTTTACTCTGGATTTGTTATATTTTAGGAAGTAATACAGCTGGGGGGAGACACGTGCAAGGATTGATTATTTCCTTGCTCTTGCACTGTTCTAATTGAAAACGTTGGATTGGCTTTTTTTCTTCTTTACAAACATGAATAGTTGAATTTTTTAAAGTTAAGAGCAATAAGAGCACCTCCAATGTTTTATCAAACAATGCACCATCACATTTGCTTGGCTCTCAACACTTCTGGTGCATTCTATATGAGAATAATTTGGTATTATGTTACTCTGTTTTCTTACAAAGGTTAAGAAAAGAAGATTTTAGCTCTTCAAAAGCTTAAAAATCAGACAACTCAACATTTTTAGATACATATTCCCAGGTCAAAAAGTCAAACCCAGAAAGCTGTTATAAAACCAGAGGATTTTTATAAGGAATCTCCATAAAGAGGAGGGGGGAAAAAGTAACAACCAAGCCCAGAGTTACACTGGGATTAAAAGGAGCAGGATAAGATGTAACAATAACTTTGGAACATGAACTTTTAATCACCAGGTGAATCCTTCTCTGTGGGAACACAGCACAGTCCCAAATTTGATGCTACTTACACTCATTATAACTACCAGCATAACTACAACCGTAACTGTTAGGTTCCTTCCCTTCCCAAAATGTCCTGGAGAGACTTTCAAAGTACAAAGAAGTGAAAAATTCCCATTCTGGAAATATTTTTTTTGCCACAAAGCACATTCTCAGGCGTTCCCTGATAACACATTCCCTGGGTTATCACAACTTGGGCGTCTGAAACACAAACTTGGCTTTTCCTACAAGGAGCTGAGCCCCAGCTTTGCTTATTGCAGAGTGTTTCTGGGAAAGCCAGGAGAGATCCTAAAAAGCCTACAAGGAAACATGGAATCCTAGAATCAGTCAGGCTGGAAAAGAGCTCTAAGATCATTGAGTCCAAACCCTGCCAGCTCCACCACTGACCATGTGCCCAAGTAGCTCCACGTCCACGGTGGGCACTCCAAACCTCCCTGGGCAGCCCCTGCCAAGGCCTCACCACCCTTTCCAGCAGGAAATTCCTCCTCCTGGCCAACCTGAGCCTCCCCTGGCACAGCTGGAGGCCGTTCCCTCTCCTCCTGTCCCTTGTTCCCTGGCAGCAGAGCCCGACCCCCCCCGGCTCCCCCCTCCTGTCAGGGGGTTGCAGAGCCAGAAGGTCCCCCCTGAGCCTCCTTTTCTCCAGGCTGAGCCCCCCCAGCTCCCTCAGCCCCTCCTGCTGCTCCAGCCCCTTCCCAGCTCCGTTCCCTTCCCTGCACACGCTCCAACCCCTCCAGGTCTCTCTCCCAAGAACTGGACACAGCCCTGGAGGTCCCTCAGCAGTGGCAGCGCAGGGGACAATCCCTGCCCTGGGCTGTGCCCACACTATCCCTGATCCAAACCAGGTGCCTTTGGCCTCCTTTCTTTGTTTTCCTGGTTATTCAAACTGGAAAACAACATTCAATATCCCCATTTCTTCGCATTTTCAGGGTTTGGGGTTTTTTTTTTAGCACATTTCTGTGTTTTCAATCTGAAATTTAAGTATTCCACGGTAGAAAAAGTGAAAAAACCCTCTTCCTTCAGAGGATTGTTTCCCCCAGTTACACTGTGGGTAATTTTAGGGGTTTAGAGTAGGTCAGCTTGCAGGGAAATAAAGTGGTGTCCATTAGAAGCTTTCACCCTTTAGCCAAAGGTAGTTCAGACATCACCAGGCACCTCTGATCCCTCACCCTCAAGAAACCTTCTTGAAAATGCAAAAGAGCCATCACCAGTAACCACAAACCCTCTCAATTCCGGGCCTGAGCTCTCACCAGCTCCTCTGAACTTCAGCAGAGCCACCAGATGACTCTTGTTGCTGCCCTACAAAATAATCCCAGTTCAGGTTTTCATTCTAAGACTGCAAATCTTGTTTATTCTCAGGAACTCAGCACACCAACAGTGGCTCTCCTAACAAAGAGAAAACTGAAAATAATCTTACTGGTCTAACTTCTAACGTGTCAGAAGTCTGAAGGATTTTGTCAGGGCACCACTGTTTTTCAGTCTGTATTTCTCATGGGACTTGTGAACAAAGAATTTGGGCTGCAGAAGACAGAATTACGACTTAAAATTTCAAAATCTTGTCTATATTTCTGTTCTTTAAGCTCATCATCCTCCAAGCTCAACATCATCAGAAATCCTGACCAAAACTAAAAGTTGGAAGTTTTGAATCAGATTAATGGACTGCAATTTGAAACTTAATTCTCTCAAACATGAGGCACTATTTCATACCATTATCTCTCCTTTCAGTTGTAGGACGAGCACTTTGAAAGCTTTTCAAAACATTTCCTCAATATTTAAGTTACACTTGAACCTGTGACTACTAAACAAGAGCTCCCCAAACTCGATGGGCCACCCAAAGACGCAATTTGGAGAACTTTAGGTATTTAAAACAAATTAATTATCCCTTTGGCTTAGTTTTTCTTTCTTCTCTTCTTCGCCCAAGCTAATTTTAGAAGCCTTTAGACCCCAGTTTCACTCGAGTTATCAACACACAACTCCCAGCCACTCAAGTGGGGGATGAAGGATGTTTAGTTCTCGCTGAGTGAAATCTCCACTTGCAGCATCTTGGGCTTAATCCAAGAGGCTCCCTGTAAATATACCCTGCAAAGCTGTTTATGCAGGAACAGCTGATGCAACTGAAAACTGTCAATCAGGAGATGAGCTGGATGCACATGTAAATCCACCGAGGTTTCTTTCCCAGCCCCGAGGATTCCTGGGCTTTAAAGCTGAACAAGCAACCCCAAGGATCCCTCTTAGGTGTGTTTTTGGCCCCAAGAACTGCTTCAAAAAAAGTGGTATTTTGGTATAAAGAACTCCACCAACCCTCTTGGATAAACTCTTATTTTATTCTATTTCTATAGAAAATATGGATTATTTTTCCAGCAAAAGAGTATCACTAAAAATTATCTGTTGAATCTGCAAATATATCTGTCACTTAGAGGATTAGAACTTCCTAAAACATCAATTTTAAGAAGGGGTAACAACTTTTTCTTGCATGGGACATCCCCAAGAATCAGCACATCTTCAAAAGCAAACCCTTTCAAAGCATAACACTTGGCAAACAGTTATTTCCATTCAGTGAAACCATTCTGTTCCTGGGAGAAGAAGAGTTTCCAAAGCTGCAGAAGGGTTTTTCCAAAGGGCAAAAGAAAGATTTCAAAACTCAAAAAGGTTCAAAATTTCAAAGGTTCTTCAATATTCTGCTAAGTTTGGAATTTTAGGGGTAGGGAGAACGGAAAAGAAACAAAAAGCACATGAAAACATCAACTATTTTCCCCTCTAAAAAGCCTTGAAAAATCAGCTTACCTGTATGCATCGTCTTCTTTCAAGTCTCATATCATCCTGCGGGGTTGTGGGGACAGGGGGAGTCCAGCAGCAAACAACACTGCAAAAGGAAGAGGAAAACAGGGATAAACCTCCATTCCAGGGAGCCACAGGAGCTCAGTCCAACCCCGGACCTCAGCAACAACCCCGGAGCTAAACCAAGAAGTTCAGAGAGAAAATGAAATTTTCCACCAGTAAAAGTAGAAATTACCAAGATTTAATTCCCACTGATATCTGTTGTTAAAAAAACCCATTATCTAAGTGTCAAAATTCCAAGGATTAACTTAAATTTCAACTGGTCGTTTAACAGTTATGAAAATAAAGGTCACCCATCTTTGCCAAGCCCTTAAATATGTAGATTTTTACAGAAACTCAGGACAATGTTTATAAAACATGACTCAACTTGTGGGATTTTGGTGAATTAACAAGCTATAAATGCATATAAATCCATAAATGTAAAGGTCCATTTTTCCTCCTATCCTGATGAAATTGAGTTAGGGTCATTTTACTGAAAAATAGAATTATACTTTCTATAAGATAAAGAGATTTAAAGACACGAGTTTCTAGGAAGAAAACTCCAAGAGGAGCTAAAAAGAAGAGCAAAATTATGCCAAAAAAAACCCCACCAAGCCCAAAACAAAACACCCAACAACTAAACCTGGTCTAAGTATGTCTCAAGTAATGGCTTTTCATTTGTTCTCCAATGGGTTTTTTTATCACTCTGCAACCTATGGAAGCATCAAAACCGCTCAGAAATTCCTGAGGATTTCAGAGAACTCTGCAAATTACCAGCTGAAAGTGGACAGTCAAGTTATTACTATTTAAACACCTCCTGAAATATGTAACTTCCAGAAGTGTGTCCAGCCTAAAATGCACTTAAGACGCTGCAATTTGAGCAGAAAACGTCGCCGTTCGCTCCATTTCCCCCCAACAAGGAGTGTTTAAGCCCTGCCCAAACCCCCCCTGAGCCCAGTTGGCCTTCCTGCCACCACACTGGGCTTGTCCTTGTGCCACACAAATGGGGAAAAAGGGGCCAAGAAGACATGGAACAATTAATTTTGGATCCATGGAGGAGCACATGTTGCTGTGGTTTTGGGGGTATTTTATGAGCAGGTGAATTCTCGGTGTCCTGGGGGGAAAAACCTGCCCATCCCACATCAGGAATTAGATTTTTGCTGTTCCACAGAGCCCCAGAAAGTCACTGCCACAGCCCCAGGAGCCAGGGACTTGGAAAAGCTGGTGAGCACAGCACAAGGCTGCACAAGATCCTACAAATCAGGCACTTTCGTGCCTAAATTGCCTCCATTTGGGTAAAAGGTTTGGTCTGGTGCTTCTGCTGAGGGTAAAAAACATCCCACAGACACACTGAGCTGGCCCCACTAAAGCTCAGCAGAGACAGCCCCAGGTACTCAGAAGGAAAAAGAAAGGAAGAGCAAATTCTTATTTAAACAAACAATAAAATGGTTTGGGTTGGAAGGGACTTTAAAGCTCATCCAGTGCCACCCCCTGCCATGGGCAGGGACACCTTCCACTAGCCCAGGTTGCTCCAAGCCCTGTCCAACCTGGCCTTGGACACTTCCAGGGATCCAGGGGCAGCCACAGCTTCTCTGGAACCTGTGCCAGGGCCTCATCACCCTCACAGCCAGGAATTCCTTCCCAGTATCCCATCCAACCCTACTCTCTTGTCAGTTTGAAGCCATTCCCCCTTGTCCTGTCACTCCAGCCCTTGGAAATAAGTCTCTCTCCATCTTTCCTGGAGCTCCTTCAGGTCACAATCAGGTCACCCCAAAGCTTCTCTTCTCCAGGCTGAACAATCCCAGCTCTCCCAGCCTTTCCTCCCAGCAGAGCTGCTCCAGCCCTGGGATCCTCTTGGGGCCTCCTCTGGACTCTCTCCAGCAGCTCCATGTCCTGGAGCACCAGCTCTGTCCATCCCACACAAGTGTCTCAAGGTTCCAGAGCCACACTCCCAGTTTTGAAAGCTCCCTCTGCCCAACAGACTTTGGTTTTCCCTTTGAACTGAAGCACCCACGGACACAGGGATCACGGGAAGCCTTTCCCAGCAGCACAACCACCTCCCATCCCACCAGTTTCAGGTTCTAACCCAGCTTAGGTCAAACTATCAACGGGCAGAGTTTGAGCAAAGCAGATGATTTTCAGCCAAAATAAATTGTGGAGCTTCAAACACTGTCTCCTGCCCATTCCACAGTGGGAATGGTCAGCTCCCAGAGCAGCTGGAAAGGTAACTGCACAGCCCTGAGTTATTTTGGAATTTAAAAGACACTCTCAGAGCCACCAACACTAAGGAAGAGCTGCTGCTGTGACAGAAAGTCCTTAACAGATTATTAACAGGGAATCAACACATCCATCCATCCCAGAGCTAACCAGGAAAACACATCCATCCCAAACCAAGGCATTTCTTCAGTCTCCTTCCAACTCTCCAACAATTATCCCAACAATTATCTCCAACAATTCTGGAGAGCTGGAGATCCCCCATGGAACTCAGACCCACAGGTGGCTGGTGCAGCCCTGTTTTCTAAGAAGGGACTCACAACATAAAAGTGATTTTAAAACCCTTGCAGGGCCCAAACCCAGTGAGTTCCTGTGACTGTAACAGGATCTCACACACACACAACATAAAATGGTAACAATTTGGGGGTTTGTTTTTTTAAACAGACACCACCAAACTGCAGGGGCAGCACAAACTCAGTCACTGAGTGTCTTCTGCTGGGTCTCTGCACTGCCCAGAGTGCCCAAAAGGCCTTTTAGAGAGCCTGTAGAAAGGCTGCCTGGGTTAGATAATAAACTGGTGGTAAGAGGAGGCAGGAGAAACTCCTGCTCCTCACACAGTCGGTCAGACCAGGACTGGAAGGATCCCCTCAGCAGTAACATTTACTGGGCTTGGAGAACCCAGTTTCATCTGCTCACTGGTGCAGGACAGAAAATTGGCAGTGAAGGAGGAGAGGAAGGAGGAGATGACAAGAAAGGTGTTAAAAAGCACATTATTGAAAGAATAAAAGCTGAAGGCTTTTATTTAAACAAAGAGAGTTCTTGGAAATCAGCTGTGTCTGAAGCCACCACAGTGACACTTTACCTCGTGCTTTTATTTCCTTTTTTTAATCACTGTTGCTTTCTACTCTTCATCTTTCCTACCCACACAATGCTCCTTTGATCTCCCCAAAATACAGGGGATGGAGTTACCTATCCAGAGCCACTCCATGTTCAGGAATAATTCCAAGTGTAGAGTTATAAAATGTTTATTTAGACACATCAAAGGTGCTGAGCAGGTTTATCCCAAGTCACACTCCACGATATTATAAAGATGGTGACTCTGAATAATAATAAATAATAAATCCTTCACGTTCTCTGACTTTTGCTCACACCACAAGCCTGGTTTGCCTTTGGCCTCCTTGAGGGCTGATGTTTTATTCCCTGCATTCCTTGGGAGCATCCATTGCTTCCTTCAAAACACTCAATACCCACCACAGTCAATAGGTTCACTGCAGATCAAAGTCGGTTTCAGAGCAATCCCACTTCTAAAACCCTAAAAGTTAAAGTGCAAAAACCATTACTAACATGAAAATTTAATTAAAAGGAAAGTCTGCTGGGGAGGGTTTTCCTTTTTACATTTTACTAATTAAAACATTTCATGTAGAGGTTTATTTTCCTTATTCAGTATCACCGTGTTATCAGATTCAACACAGCACCTTTTCCAAACTAATCACAGCAAAGTTCTTCATTTTTTTTTCCATCTCTGAAAAGATTATTTGGTAATTTTTCAAGTCACACTCCTGAAATCCAGAGAAATCCCTGCCCATCTCATGGCTGCCCAGGCTGCTGTCAGAGCTGAACATAATTCAGGTCACTGACCTTTGGGGAACACAGGCAGGGCCCTGTTGCTACCAACAGAAAATAGAAATACTTGCTTAGAAACAACTAATTTTTTTATTATTTACCAGGGAAATTATCTTGTTAAATTGAGATTATCAACACACTGGAACATAATCAATTTAGACACATATAAACCTGAGCTATGCACAGGCAACCAAGGATGCTGCTCAAAATAAAACAAACTGGGCAAAAGATTCACCAAACACACCAGGTTTGGTGCATTATTTCAAATGCTGAGGAATAAAATGCCACCAATTACCACCAAAACCACTGGAGTTTGCAATAAATAAATAAATAAGCCTCTCCAAGTGCTTAGTGACTGTCAACTTCCAGAGAGACACCAGTGAGGAATTCCAGAATTGCTGGTTTTCCAGCCCCCAGCACATGCAGCCTGTGCTTTGTTCCCAGGGAAATCCCGGGTGTTTAATGGACAAACTAACAGGGATCTGAAAACTAAACACTCTGTTCTGCTTCCAACATATGTGAGGACCTGTGCGAGGAATAATTCATGGGAATGAAAGGAAAAAAACCTGGACTAGTTTGTAGGGAGTTCTGCTTTCTACAACAACTGAGGCTCACCTGTAAAATCACAGTAGAAAATTCAAAGTACCATCGTGGTTTCAGCAAGAAAAGCCAACACATCCCTCTCCCACCTTTCCAGTCACCTGGATGTTTCTATATATTGAGCCCTGAGCAAAACACCAGGAATTTGGGATCAGCATCATGTTTGTCATGTTCCCCAAGAAGCCACAGATCCCCTTCTCCAGGTTTAAGTGCTGTGGGACTGTGGAAAACTCAGGAGCTGAATGTTTGCACTGGAACAGCAACTGCAGAATCAGGGAACCCCAGGATGGTTTGGGTTGGAAGGGACCTTAAAGATCATCCAATTCCAACCCCCTGCCACAGGCAGGGACACCTTCCACTAGCCCAGGTTGCTCCAACCTGGCCTTGGACACTTCCAGGGATCCAGGGGCAGCCACAGCTTCTCTGGGCAAAGGTTTTTAAAAGTCACCAACTTTAGGTTTCAAAATTCTTAAGTCGAGAAGAACAAATAATTTCCCTCTTCCTTTTAATTTGTGTATAATTTCAACAGAACTTCCAACGTCAGCTCACCCTCCAGCATGGGGCAAACATTCTCCTTCTTGAGCATGGAAAGGGAAGGGTCAACATTTG